TCCGTAGGTATGCTGAAATACCTATCTAAAGTGTGGTGACTTTCGTCTATTCTTAAAACCGGAACTGTCTTTAACTATTCATTTTTAATCCTTCTAGCACAAGGAACATTTCCTAACAGTACCGAAGAGACTTAAGCAGTCACCTATATTCAAATTCGATGTTGTTAAACTTAGGTCAGGGATCCGCAAAATTTTGAAACCATCCACCATTTTATAGAATCAGTGATACAATATAAGCCCGCCAGGCATATAATAAATGTCTATATATATTTTTTTTTTTATAATCATATAACCCCAATCACGTTAATAAAGCCACTAAGACGCAAGGGGTTACTCAGTGTGAGAGAATATGAGAAAAATATTATGTAGGAGAAAGAGTGAGAATTAAGAAGATAACGATTGATATTGCATTTCTGTTGTGTCCTGTTTAGGGGCCAAGAAAGAAAGACACGGATGACGAAGCTAGTTTGAACAAGTGTATTGAAATAAGAGATCTATACAAAGCAAGAGTGTTAGTACTAAGCAGATAGAGGTGTACGGCCGGACGGTAGGTTAACACTGCGTCTCCGCTATATTTAACAGACCCCCCACTACGAGGCGACACACATACACATACACACACATATATATATATCTATATCTATCTATCTATCTATCTATCTATATATATATATATATATATATATATGTATATAAATAAAAGAAAGAAATGTATATAAAAATAAAAATATATATATATATATATATATATATATATATATATATATATATATATAGTCATATGTCTCTCTCGTTCTTTTCATATCTTTCTATCTTTCTTTTCAAATATGCTCATATCTATTCTTGTTCATATATCAATCTTTCTAGTTAGAAAGCTCGTCTCGATATAACAAATACGACTGAGTAGTGAGTTCGATCCTCACTGAGTGCCCTAAACTATGCCTTGTGTTACATCTAAGGAAGCAGACAGTTGAAATTTATGGGTCACATAATAAGGAAAGAAGGTTTGGAAAATTTGATGCTCTCAGGACAGATTGAAGGTGTTGTGGCCTGTTTAGGGGTCAGAAAGAAAGACTCGGAAGACGAAGGTAGGTTGAACAAGTGTATTGAAATAATAGATATATATATACAAAGCAAGAGTGTTAGTAATAATCAGATAGAGGTGTACGGCTGGACGGTAGGTTAACACTGCGTCTCCGCTTCCAAACCGACTGCCCTGTGACTCTTGCTAGGAAGTCTCGCAGTTTGTATTTATGAGAGGAGGAAGAGATCATTCTACTGTAGGAGGCTTTACCACAAAAATTTCAATTTTTGAAGATCAAATTTAGTTGGAAAGTAAGAAGCAAGAAGTGGATTCAACGAGCGAGAAGTTCAACAGAAGACAGTGTTAACATAGAACTTAGGATTATATCTTGTCATTTTAAACCTAAAATGATTATACGTTGCTCTTCCTGATGTTAAGTATAAGCCTCCTCCTTGTTTGCATCCTCTCTAAAACCCCATCGTTGCTCACACGCTCGATCTATGATATCCTTAGCATCCTTCTGTAGAACCACATCTCCGCCGCTTCGAATATCTTCTTCATCTTTGGGGAAATCGTCCAAAATTCGCTAGTGAACTTTTCTTTTTATATGCCACGTCCTTTCAGGACGTAGGCGATCATGGCTCTCCACCTCCCTCTATCCCTTGCATGTTCTCAATAAGTTTTATCCCTTTGCTATTTCCCCCAGGCCTGTCATCCACTTGTTTAAGCCCGCTAGGCATATCAGGCGTTGCTTTCTCTTGTCTCTCTTTCCCTCTATTCGACCTGTGAGTATCAGATTCTCCAAGCTTTCATTTCTTATTACGTTTCCCAGAAGTTTCAGCTGCCTCTTCCTGATGTTAAGTATAAGCCTCCTCCTTGTTTGCATCCTTTCCAAAACCTCATCGTTGCTCACATGCTCGGACCATGATATCCTTAGCATCCTTCTGTAGAACCACATCTCCGCCGCTTCGAGTCTCTTCTTTATCTTTGAGAAGACTGCCAACATTCGCAGTCGTAAAGGAAGACAGATATCTCGTAGCAGTTCAGTAGTCTTTTGTTACCAACAAAATCCTCCTGTCTCATAATACTCTGCCTGGATTTTGGAATGCGTCTTTGGCCATCACAATACGTCTTCGGATCTGAGCGTCGTACTTACCGTTTTCTCTCAGAACACTTCCCAGATATTTAAATTTCCGCACCTGCTTGACCACTGACCAAAATTTACAACAACACATTCTTATTTACCATTCTTACAAGGCCATTATAATACCTCAAAGTCTTTATGTAGTCCTAACTAGCACCCATATGTACAATTTGTCTGGGGTGGGGATAAAACAACATTTCAAAATAGAAGAAAGTTCATCGGAACAATTAGCGTGAACGTATTTATAGAAAAGGCAGAGGGAAGCAAGAAACCGAAAGAGAGTTCCACAAGCGAGAAGTGCGAGAGAAGAAACTGTTAACATAGAACTTACGGTTATATCTAGCCATTTCATCTGTAAAATGATGAGACCTTGCCGTCAATCTAGTACTGTGCTTAAATTCATAAAGTCAAGGTACCATAGAGCAGAGGTCGGCAACATTTTGCTATGTGCCGAGTTTTAAAATCATTCAGTGTGCCAACTGCATAAGTAATTCTATAGGTCAATATACCTGTTCTACAATATATTTTATATAGTCATATATAGTATATATACTTTAGTATATATTAAAATTGAAACAGCTAAATATCTTCTTTGCATTGTAGTAGTTATTCGGACGTCGTGATGTCATTTGTAGCTGTGTGCCATTGGAAATTGCTTGGTGTGTCACGTGTACCGTAGGTTGCCGACCCCTGTCATAGAGGAAAATTGATATTTATTTTACGTAATACAAAAAGGTGGCTCAAGACCAAAAGAGGAAGGTTGGTCTTCAATTTGACTTATCTTAAACTTAGCTAGCAACAAATACTGACCTGAACATGCCACAGTATTCCTTACACCAAAACAACACATTCTTACTTACCATTCTTACTACAGCCACCATAATATCTCAAAGTATCTATAAAGTCCTAACTAGTCCTCATATGTACAATATGTCTGTGCAGTGAGAAATTTAAATAACAAATTAAAAATCTAACCCCAATATGTAACATGGTGGAAATTCCCCCCCCCAATTACTCTGAATGTATTTATGAAAGATGCGAAGGGAAGCTACGTTACCGTAGTTTTGGGTTTTTTTACGACTTATCGACCCATTGCGTCAATTAATGACGAAATTTAATCTTTTTTTCTCTCTCAACAGAGCCTTGTATTTAAACAATCAATTAAAAGTTATTTTAAATCCATTTTATATCTTTGCAGAGTCGCATTGTCATTTTGCTATAAAAATGCATTGTTACTCATTTTATTATAAAAATGTACTGTTGATTTAAAATTTGGGTGCTCACTATTTGCCTTTAGCTGAGACCCTTACAGGTGCTACTACCCCGGACCAGAGTGGATCTGGGAACAACATTTTAGAGGTTTTTTCCATGCTCCTCAAAACCCAACCAGAGCCGAATGAAGTTTATGGTCATGCGCAGGACGAGTTACGGCTGTGGGAAAGTCACTGATCCCGAAACGTCAGGACAGAGCAGGATCAATAATATTGCAGATTCTTATTTCATCTGGAATCTCTAAATATATAGCAAGAGTAAGAGAAAGTTAAGCCTTTAATCAATATTAAAAATCATTCGAATTTGATGGGGCTTCGTCCTTTTCTTAATTCCCCCACCCCCGGCCCTGAAGCGTAAGAGGTTGTTGGAAAATTAAGAAATTTTATTTTACAAGAATACAAAACCGATAATAAATATTGAAAATTGATTACGTTTTAGAGGTCTGTCTCGGTAATATAACTTATCACAATTTGTCATTTTTTTACAATTCTGAAACTTAAGGTGTGTCGGGTAATGAAAAAAGTTTATTATACAAGAAAAATCACACTTATACAAATATTGAAAATCCGTATATTATGTTAAACTACATTATTTACATTATTTGGACTATTGTCCTCATCTTTGTCGCCATATTTATCACAAAGTTTCGGCCGTTTTACGCTCCGGCCTTCTTCAGGTGGTTGGGATTTCGAACTGAACACTTTATTTCGCTCACTGGGGTAGACTGTTCTTGATGGATGTCAGTTATCAGTTATGCTAATTTCCCTCTGAAAGTTCTCCACTGTCTTAACCAGGTATTGAACTCACACTCTTTGGGTCCTGTCACTGGATCTAACCAACGCCTTTATCCACTATGCCATGTGTCCTTGAGGACATAAGCTATGTTAAAAAAAAAAATCTATGTACCGTAATTCCCCATGTATAATAAGTATTTTTTTCTAAAAAGTAATGGGCAAATTTAATGGTGCGTATTATGCATAGCTACAAAAAGTCTTTAAAAAATTGCCGTTTCATAAGTCACCAGAAACATGTGACAATTTGACACAAACATTCGACAACTGCGACCCGATAAGGATGTCAAATACAATCATATGTACCTAACAATACTTACAAATGTAAAATAAAATAAGAATTATCATAAAACTACATTAGAATAATATTATTCTATGTTTGAAACCGTTTTTTTTAAATAAGTGTATGAAACGCTGGCCGTAATGAAATTGGAGAGGTACAAGGGTTTGATTATCATACAAGGGGTGTGTATTTCCAAACTTTCAGCACAAATTCTAGGGGTGCGTATTATTGATGAAGGCGTATTATACATGGGGAATTACGGTAATTCATTTTGAATAAATATTGGTCGAGAAGAAGATACGCATTTTTTCTTTCCTTTTTTAAAATAATTCTTTATCTTTATGGGAAAGTTATACGTTGACAAAAATAGTTTTTATATTTACGGGTTAGTTCACGTTCATTTAAAAATGATTCTTGCATCTAAATGCGTTTCATTGGTGACTGTTATAGAGCCGACTATATTTGATGTTGCGTCTAATCTGGTTGATGGATACCGGCGGGGAGAGGCCAGAGGTGGAGAAAGAGGATAGTAAGATGAAACGAAGACCCTCGGAGAACTTGCCCGGTTCCACTTATTTTTTCTTCAGAAAGACAACTTTTCCGTTTCCAGGCGAGCCTGGGCAGCGGGCGGGCAGGCGGGCGGGCGAAGTGTCTAATTTCCCTTTTACTTCTAAGATGGCCACTGATTTTCTTTCTTTCTTTCTTTCTTTCTTTCTTTCTTTCTTTCATTTTCTTTCTTTCTTTATTTCATTCATTCATTTTCTTTCTTTCTTTCTTTATTTATTTTATTTCTCCTTTCTTTCTTTCTTTCTTTCTTTCTTTCATTCATTTTCTTTCTTTCTTTTTTCTTTCTTTCTTTATTTTATTCCTCCTTCCTTCCTTCCTTCCTTCCTTTCTTTCTTTCTTTCTTTCTTTCTTTCTTTATTTCATTCATTCATTTTCTTTCTTTCTTTCTTTCTTTCTTTCTTTATTTTATTTCTCCTTTCTTTCTTTCTTTCTTTCTTTCTTTCTTTCTTTCTTTCTTTCTTTCTTTCTTTCTTTCTTTCTTTCTTTCTTCCTTCCTTCCTTCCTTCCTTCCTTCCTTTATTTATTTATTTCTTTATTTCTCCTTCCTTTCTTTCTTTCTTTTATTTCTCCTTCATTCCTCTCTTTCTTTCTTTCTTTATTTATTTATTTTATTTCTCCTTTCTTTCTTTCTTTCTTTCTTTCTTTCTTCATCTTTCTTTCTTTCTTTCTTTCTTTCTTTCTTTCTTTCTTTCTTTCTTTCTTTCTTCACGTTTCTTTCTTTCTTTTCTTTTTCTTTCTTTTCTTTTTTCTTTCTTTCTTTTCCTTTCTTTCTTTCTTTCTTTCTTTCTTTCTTTCTTTCTTTCTTCAGAGAGCAATATCTTTTTTAAAATGTTGTTCTTCCTTTTAACGTTCGTTTCTATTTTCTCATCCATTCGTTATCCTCTTATTTTTCTTAATTTCCTGAACAATTCTGCCTCTGCTTTAAAGAGGCTTAAAAATATTTGCTTATATTGGCGCGAAGCCACTACCACGACCATTACTGATACTCTAAGTGGTCACCCATCTAAAGACTGGTCACTTTCGTTTATCCTTAAAACCGGAACTCTCTTTAATTATTCATTTTTAATCATTCTAGCACAAGGCGCACTTATTTACAATAAGTTGCTAAACGGTCACCTATATTAAGCCGGATCAAATTCGATGTTGTTAATCTTAGGTCAGGTGTTCCCAAAATTTTGAAACCATCCACCATTTTACGGAATCCTTCATACATCATCACCCCCACCCCAGGCATATAAAAAATATCAATGAGAATTTTTTTTTTTTTATTCAAAGACAGTAATTCATTTGTTCTCTCTGCTTTATTATTGTTCTTTGATAAGATTGATGTTAGCTTAACTTTTTCGAACACCTTTTTCCGATTTCTGTTTCTTTCCCGATACTAGACGTGATTGCGTGAATGCTACTAATACTACGACTACTACTACTACTAATAATAATAATAATAAATTTAAAATACACACAAAACAATATGATGTAATGAATATGCATACACTTGGATTCCCCTTCACAGTCATATGATTGGCTGGTGTCAGCCATAAATACAGACTGAGTACAGGGACGGCGCCTATTGACTACGCCTATTGACTACGCCTACTGTCTTCGCCTATTGTCGACCACTACGACGAGGACCAGTCCATTACGGCTACCTGATAGATTGTCCTACCCGTTTACGATAGCACAAAACCACTTTGCTACTTCGAACTAATATATCCCTTTCCGGGACATATCACAATCAAAACTAATCTAACAGACATAGCGATCAAAGAGCATTAATACGGAATGGGCTTTCTTTTTGAAATGGAAGTTCCTGCAGAATGTAATGTATCTTTAAAGATCTTCAGAATGCTATAAAAATACAAGGATTTTAAGTGGAAATCTAAAAGGTGTGGCACACAATAATTACAGTTGTATTTGGAGTCAACGGTTTGATTGGAAAAGGTTCCGATGGACCCACTGAAGGGATACATGGTAGCCCATACCTAAAAGAAATACAAAAAATTGTGCTCACAAGCACAGCTCACACACTACGGAGGGCTTCATCTACGTAAAATATGTGTACTCTTAGATTATTTTATTTTTATTTTTTTTACAAGTCTATTCAGTTAAAATATCACTGCACCTTTTCTGACCTTAGGTCCCTGATTGGGACCCGGAAAGAAAACAAAAATCAAAGGAAATAATAATAATAATAATAATAATAATAACATCATCAACAACAACAAGATTAAGGAACTAGACCAAGATGGTACATACAAATACTTAGAAATTAATGAAGGCGACGGAATACAACATTCAATTATGAAGAAAAAAATCCGAAAAGAATATTATAGGAGAGTTCTTTTGATGCTAGAAAGCGAACTAAATGGGGCCAATAAAATGAAGATTATCAACAGCTTAGCTATACCCTTAGTAACATACAGCTTCAATATTATTAAATGGAAGTTGAATGACATTAAATGATTGAACGTCAAGACCAGAAAAATGCTTACCAAAATGAGGATGTACCACCCGAAATCAGATGTTGATAGGCTGGAATGGACCAAGAGCTTTAGGAGGCTGAGGTCTAATCCAACTTGAACTAATTCTAAAAGCTACAACAATCGCATTGGAAGCAAACCACACGAAAACCAATGAATCTCTTCTAAAATAGTAAAACATCAAATCCACTACATCAACAAAGAAGCTGCACTCTTCAAGAAACAGCTTAATATAACTGAAATTCTTCAAACAGAAAACGAAACGAATACAATCTATACCAAACGAGCAAAACAGAAAGCAAAACAAATTGATCAAATGAAATTAAATGGAAGGCAAAGGGTTGCATGAAAAAAAGAAACCTAAAAAGAACGAAAGAAGTAAATATAGACCAACAGAAAACACATCAGTGGCACTGGGTTGAAAGATGAAAGATGAAAGAGAAGGCGTAATTACTGAAGCTAAGGATCAAAGGCTCGCAGCCAGAACCTGTCACTGTTAAATAATCAAGGATGGAACTAACCTAAAATACAGGATCTACGGAAAACCTGATGAAACTGTCGACCATATTACCTCAGGATGTCCTGAACTAGCAAAAATGAATATAACCACAGACAACAACGTAGCGACATATGTGCACTGGAAGATATGCAAGAAGCACAAAATCGAAACCACTGAGAGATGACATGCACACCAACCAGACACAGTTGCCCAAAATAACGATGTAACTATCCTTTGGGATATGCCAATTCAAACCGACAGGGAAATAAAAGCCGACAGACTTAATATTATCACAAAAGACACGAAATTCAGGAAGTGTATGATGCTTATTGATATCGCAGCACCAACTGAAAAAAAAACCCACCTCCATAAAAATTATCGAGAAATATTGCAAATACAAGGACCTGGAGATCGAGATTAGCAGGATGTGGGGAATGAAAATAGTAATCGGAGCTCTGGGCCCCGTGAGAAAAGGAATGGACAATTTTACTCATAGTGTTCCATGCAACATCAGCATACAAGTTTCCTAGAAGACCACTCTATTAGGAACATTCCATATACCAGTGGTTTATAACCTTTTTGCTGGAGTGGAACTACAAGGAAACATTCTAGTGGCTCGAGGAACCCCTGCAATTAAAAATTACTGTCAATCATAGTACTTGTGTAAGTTCTAGCGGAACCCCTGGCCTTTACTGGCGGGACGCTAGGGTTCCGTGGAACACTGCTTGAAAACCACTGCCGTATACTAAGAAAAGTACAATCAATTAAATGACAATTTTTTTTATAAGGCCTAAGTGCCGTAGTTTGGACCCGGCTCTACAGGGTGGAAAGCAGGAAACATAATATGCACAAATGATAATAATAATCGTCAATCGCCCAGACATCGTGATCAGAGGCCACAAAAACAGAATATGCCATCTTATTGACATGGCAGTCCGTGTAGATTGTAATGGGTCTTTGAATTTAAAAAAAAAATGATCAAAGTACAAGGACCTTGACATAGAAATTTTAAAAATGTGGCACGTGAAGGAACCAGTAATCCCAGTTGTGGTTGGAGCCCTCGGATTGTTTACAAAATCTTCCGGTAGACTCATTGAAGGGATCCCCGGTAGCCCAAGAAATACAAAACATTGTACTCACAAATACAGCTCACACCTTACGAAGGGGGGGGGGGGCAATCTATTTAAAATGCGTGTGCTCTTAGCTTTTTTTGTCTTTTTCTTTTCAAAAAATGCTCAGTGAATAATTTCATGATCCTATTGCTGGCTTTAGGTCTCTGGTTGGGACCCAGAAAGAAATGAGTATACATCAGAAAACAAAGGAAATTTTAAACGTGACTTGAAGAAGACAGACATATTGTCAAGATATTGTTGAACATTGTTAAACAGTGTCTCTTCTTTCCTTTTTCTTTATTCAAATCGCGCTCTTTAAGTGCTTAAATCTATTGGAAGAGTTAAGTCAATGATTTTATTTTATTATTATTATTATTATTATTATTATTATTATTATTATTATTATATGTGTATGTTATGTTTCCTGCTTTGTATCCCGTAGAGTCACGTCCAAACTATGGTCCTTAGGCCCTATAGGAGAATTGTCATTTAATTGATAGCACTTTTCTTAGTATATGGGATGTTCCTATTAGGGTGATCTTCTGGGAAACTTGTATGTTGATCTTGGTAGAGTCTACTTCTTCTTTCCCCACATCCTGATAATCTCGATCTTCGTGTCCTTGTTTTTGGCCAGTTTCTCGATAGTTTTTTCCATCCTATTCACCATCATCTTCTTCCCATTATTATTATTATTATTATTATTATTATTATTATTATTATTATTATTCACCACTGCCTTTTGCTTTTCTTTATCCTCAACTTCCATATTATCTACTTCTCAATCCTATTCACTGTCATATTCCTCTTCACATTATTATTATTATTATCATTATTTTCTTTGATTTCAGGCGTTTACACATTTCTTTCCAGGTCCCGCCCAGGGACCTAAGGTTAGAAATGGCATCATGACAATTTCCACTGAAAAAAAAAAAAAAAAAATTACATAGATAAAGCCCTTCGTAAGGTGTGGGCTGTACTTGTCAGAACAATTTTTTGTATCTCCTTGAGGTATGGACTTCCAGGAATCCTTTCAATTAGTCTACTGCAATATTTTCCAACCAGTCCTAGGGCTTCAACTACAAAAGGGATTGTTGATGTTCCCATATGCCACATTTTTGAGATTTCTATTTCAAGGTCCTTGTATTTTGACAGCTTTTTGAATATCTTCAAAGATACATTACAATCAGCAGGGACTGCCATATCAATAAGAAGGCACCGTTTTTGTTTGTGGTCTTTAATAACAATGTCTTCTTCTTCTTATTATTATTATTATTATTATTACTATTTGTGTATGTTGTATTTCCTGCTGTGTACATGTAGAGCCAGGTCTAAACTATAATCCTTAGCCCTTCTAGAAGAATTGTCATTTAATTGATAGCACTTTTCTTAATGTATGGGATGTTCCTAATAGAGTGATCGTCTGGGCAACTTGTATTATCTGGGAAAACCGTTAGTAAAATTATCCATTCCTTTTCTCATGTGACTCAGAGTTCCTATTACTGTTGGTTCAGTCCCAGTGTTCATTCCTCACGTCCTGTTAATCTCAAAACTATTATTATTATTATTATTATTATTATTATTATTATTATTATTATATTTCCTTTGATTTTTGCTGTGTACCCATTTTTCCGGGTGGCGCCCAGAGACCTAAGGTTAGAAATAGCATCATGACATTTTCCACTGACGAAAAAAAAAAAAAAAAAAAAAACATATTTACATAGCTCTTCACAAGGTATGATCTGTATTCATCAGAACAATTTTTTGTATCTCTTTAAGGCATGGGCTTCCAGTAATCCCTTCAATTAGAATGTATTCCAACCAATCCAAGGGCTTCAACTACAAAAGGGATTGTTGATGTACCCATGTGCCACATTTTTGAGATTTTGATTTGAAGGTCCTTGTATTTTGATAGCTTTTTGAATATCTTCAAAGATACATTGCAGTCTACACGGACTTCCATATCAATAAGGAGGGCACTTTTTGTTTGCGGATTTTAATAACAATGTCGTGCAGTTAGTTTTTATTATTATTATGAATTTTTAGTGCCTAATTACCAAATCTCTTCGGGTGTCTCCGAGTAAAAAAAGGGGCAATGTAGGAGAGTCATCTATTCACATCCGGGACGTTTCGTTTAGATTGAGAGGGTTTTGTAGATGTTATGTGCATGTTCGGCACAAAGTAAACTCTGAGATACTGATGTTTCCAAACATTTTCCTCACATGATTTTCGTTACCCTTCTTTATCATACCTAATGCCCTTATCACAACATTATTATTAGTTGTGTATGTCATATTTCCTATTTTGTACCCTGTAGAGCCGGGGTACAAACTATAGTCCTTAGGCCCTACAGGAGAATTGTCATTTAATCGATAGCACTTTTCTAAATATATGGGATGTTCTTAGTAGGGCGATCTTCTGGGCAACTTGTATGTTGATGTTACCTGGGACACTGTTAATAAAATTACCTATTCCTTTTCTCACGAGGCCAAGAACTACGATTACTATTGGTACAGTCTTAGTCTTCATTTTCTATTATTATTATTATTGTTGTGGATTCCGAGAGGAAATTCGGTCTCCAATGAATGACAAACGCAGGAATTATATATAAGAAATAAAATGTATTTACACAATAATACAAAGGGTAATACTGTTAGTAAATCCAGGAATGCGGTTAGTAGCAATAACATATAGATATATACAGTCTCGAAGTAGGACTTCCTTAGAGTCTACGTGCTTGTAACTGACTTCTACAAGCGGTTACCTCACACTGTTACTCTACCTCCAACTCAATCACAATCTCAGTCTTCTTACTATCTGTATACTGACTGACTCTGGGTATTTAACGGCAGCAGTCCTATGACACTCTGGTCGAGTCCACTTATATGAAAAGGGGTGGACACCATAACAATTATTATTGTGTGTGTGGTATCATCTTATCATAGAATAAGTTTAAGTGCCTAATTACCAAGTCCCTTCGGGTGTCTACGTGTGAAAAGGGCAATGTAGGAGAATCATCTATGCACATTTAGAACGTTTCCTTTAGATGGAGAGGATTTTGCGCAGGATATGTACAGTTCTACGAAAAGTAACTGAGTACTTTTACTCATATAATTTTCGATTCCTTTTTTTTTTATCATAGTCAATTCGCCTAACAAAACAGGGATAACTTTAGTTTTCAGTTTCTCTATTTTTCTTACTTCGATTCGACAGTTTTTGGAATTCTTTTTAGAAACATTGGAATCCTGCCGGAAAGTCATATCAATGAGTTGCTAGGTTCCTTTTTTTTTAAATATTTTACGACTATCTCTGGTCTGCTGGCATAAATTGTCCTGTCTATGAGGACTGGGAAATCCCGCAGCATAAACACTCCATCACCATTTGTGACATCATTCGGATGGTGTATATAATATTTCATGCTGTGGAAATACCAAGTATCCTTGATTTCAGTACCAAAGTTCGAACAGACATGCCACTGAATATATTGTGCTAACCCGTCATGTCTAATGATGTTTCTCTTCTCGGCAAAGACTGAGCAGCCTGATATTATGTAGTCGACAGTTTCATCAAATTCATGCCATAAGCGACAGGAGAGATTTGAGTCTAACCTTGTAGGCATTAGCTGGAAATAAAATAATAATAATAATAATAATAATAATAATAATAATAATAATAGTCGTAAAAGCTTCTCACTTGCTATCGCATGCATCATCCCAAAGCTGATGTCGATCGTCTGTATGTGCCCAGATCCGAAGGAGGCAGAGGATTAGTTCAACTAGAACTGTCCTACAAAACTACAACAATTGGCCTCCAAAGATATTTGGAAACTACAGAAAACTGGATGATGGTATGCGTCAAGGAACATGAAAGTAGTAAGCGTCTTTACTCCGTAATGAAAGAAGCCAACAAATTCAAAATGGAGTTTCAAATGGGCGTAGAGATGCAACTACAGCACAATACACCGGCTGAAACTGCAAAATACCTAAAAAAGACAGCAAAGACGAATGCAACCGACCAGTTACAGAAGCGAGGGCAAGATAAACCGCTTCATGGCCAATACTCTGCCCGTACCAAACAAGCTGACGTGGACAAGTGCCGTACCCCTCAGTGGCTACGTAGTGCAGGGTTAAAAGCTGAAACCGAAGGTTTTATCCTTGTTGCACAAGACCAATGCTTGTTAACTAGAAATTATCAAGCACACATACTAAAATACTGTTAGTGTAAAATGCAGATTCTGTGATAAATATCCAGAAACAGTTGATCATCTTGTATCAGGTTGCAAGGTATTGGCACCCACTGAATATAAAAGCCGGCATGACAGAGTGGGCTAATATCTGCACTGGAAAATCTGCAACTTCCACTGGAAGGAAAATGAAGGAAAATTGTATGAACACCACCCAGACCCGGTTACGGAGATAGGACCTGTTACAATTTTATGGGACTACACAATACACACTGACAGAACAATCAAAGCTAATCGCCCAGACAATGTTAGCAGAGACCGCAAACAAAAATAGTGCCTCTCTATTGACATGGAAGTCCCTGCAGACTGCAATGTATCTTTGAATATCTTCAAAAATCTATCAAATAAAAGGACCTCGAAATCAAAATCTCAAAAATGTGACACATGGGAACATCAACAATTCCCGCTGTTGTTGGAGCCCTCGGATTGGTTGGAAAAGATTCCAGTAGACTTATTGAAGGGATTCCTGGAAGCCCATGCCTTAAAGAAATACAATAAATTGTTCTCATGAGTACAGTCCACAACTTACGAAGGGTTTTATCTATGTAAAATGTGTGTATTATTGTTTTTTCTTTAATTGGTCGATAGAAAATGTCATGATGCCATTTCTGACCTTAAGTCTCTGCGCGGGACCCGGAAAGAAATGAATATACACCAGAAATCAAAGGAAATAATAATAATAATAATAATAATAATAATAATAATAATAATAATAATAATTCTGTTGTGTAAAAATATATTAAAAATAATGCAAACCTGTAGATAGTTCATTGCAATTTTTTTTACTATAGAAACGCGCTGCAAAGTAGTTTAATACAACGCGTCTATGTAACACAAGTTTCACATGCCAGGCTTACTAAATCAAATATGTGAAAACTTATACGCATAATGAAATGTCAAACACTAAAAGCATATAGAGAAATGCATTGTGAATGATTTTACTACAGAACATTGCAATTACGAAAGAAATTCGTCAAAACGTTTATTGAACATTATTGACTTTCATGATAACGAATATATTGTGAAATAGCAAATCCTAAATGTATATATAAAATTGCGTTGTAAATAATTTTACTTTACGAATGTAATGGAAACGTTAAATAAATACATGAAAACGTTCACTAACTCTGGTTGATGCATATGCAGACAGTGTATACATTTAAAAGCATTAATAGAAATACATCGTGAATGACTTTACTATAGGAATGTTTTGGTATCATTAGACAGATATATGAAAACTGCACACGATAATTATTATATTTATAGTGAAGTAGTAAATCCTAAAAGCATATAATAATTCTGTTGTATAAAATATATATTAAGAAATCAAAGCATTCCTATTGTAAAATCATTTGCAATGCGTTTAAGTTCACCCCAAGCAAGGTGATAATTCTACTAAGACGAATAAGTTTACTGGGGGGGGGGATAAAATGAGAAGACTTTAGTTAGGAGAAAAGACGATAAGAGAACAGGTTTTCGGGAAACAAAGAGTGGCGATGAGCGTTGCATTTAATTTTTTGAAAATTGTCGGTGGCAGGGCTTACAGCCACGTCATTTGTATCACTAAACAATTATTATTATTATTATCTCCAAAATGATAATAGAATTCTTAAGACTGAAAAATATTTCTGGCTTTAAATAACCTGCAAACCGTTGATAAGCCCTAGAAAATGAATCAATCAATCAGTCAGAACATTCCTATAGTAAAATCATTCACAATGTATTTCAATATATGCTTTTAGGATTTACTGTTACAATACAAATATAATAATTATCGTGTGCAGTTTTCATGTATCTGTCTAATGATACCAAAACATTCCTATAGTAAAGTCATTCACGATGTATTTCTATTAATGCTTTTAAATGTATACACTGTCTGCATATGCATCAACCAGAGTTAGTGAACGTTTTCATGTATTTATTTAACGTTTCCATTACATTCGTAAAGTAAAATTATTTACAACGCAATTTTATATATACATTTAGGATTGCTATTTCACAATATATTCGTTATCATGAAAGTCAATAATGTTCAATAAAAGTTTTGACGAATTTCTTTCGTAATTGCAATGTTCTGTAGTAAAATCATTCACAATGCATTTCTCTATATGCTTTTAGTGTTTGACATTTCATTATGCGTATAAGTTTTCACATATTTGATTTAGTAAGCCTGGCATGTGAAACTTGTGTTACATAGACGCGTTGTATTAAACTACTTTGCAGAGCGTTTCTATAGTAAAAAAAATTGCAATGAACTATCTACAGGTTTGAAGTATGTACATAATCGCTAGAGTGAGTAAATGTTTCGACATATTTGTTTAATAAATTTGACCTGTAGTAGTGTTTCATATAAATGCTGATTTCGTTTTAGTTTCTTTCGTTCTCGTCTGCTTTTCCACCATAAGCAATGTCTATGAACTTAGTGTTTTCTATTTCAAAAGAGTTCCATCAACTTTTCAACCTCACCGCATTGTATTTTCGGGCTTCTAATGAACCAATAAAAATCTCGAAGCAAATCGCTCGACAATGATAGTCACTGGAATGTAAAAAAAGCAAAAAAAAAACAAAAAAAAAACATACCGATATGACAAAATCGATTCTTCTATATGTGGCAAACCAACAAATATTTTTTTTCGTGTTTACATTTAGTTAAAAAAAAGAAAAGAGAATCCATCGTTCTTTACCACCGGCAGTTTTAAACCTAATGAATGTCAACAGACGTCCTGATTTTTCAATTCTGAAAATTGCACGTACCTCCATTTTCTGTCTTTCTCTTATTTTGTGTCATTTTCTTTTTTCCCTCCTATTTTTTCTACTTTTATTTTTTTTTTGTCTTTCATTATTTCAGCCCACGTTTCTTTTTCTTTTCATTTTGCTCCTCTTTTTGATTGTTTCTTTCTTTCTTTTTTGCGTCCTTTCCGTCTTTTTTCTTTCAGTTTATTTCTTTTCCCTTTTTTTCGTTTTCCTTTTTACAGATAGCTGCTTTATCCCTAAACTGAATCCGTTTCTATTTTTCTTTATTTATTTATTTAATCAGCCTCTTCTTTTCATTCGCAATTTCCTTCCTTCCTCGCTTCCACTTTTCCTTCCTTGAAGTTTGTTTATTTGTTTGTTTGTTTGTTTGTTTGTTTTCTTTCTTTCTTTCTTTCTTTCTTTCTTTCTTTTCACACTCTTCCTTCCAGATACTCTTTCTTTCTTTCTTTCTTTCTCGCACAATCTTCCTTTCAGGCACTCTTTCTTTCTTTCTTTCTTTCTTTCTTTCTTTCTTTCTTTCTTTCTTTCTTTCTTTCAGGCACAATTTCCTTTTTCTTTTTCTTTCTTTTCTTTTCTTTCTTTCTTTCTTTCTTTCTTTCTTTCTTTCCTCTTTGTTCAAGGCTCTTCCTTTCAGTCAGTTTTCTTCCTTACTCCTTTCCGCCTTTCCTTCCTTGTTTGTCTGTTTGCTTCTTTCTCTCTTTCTTTCTTTCTTTCTTTCTTTCTTTCAGGCTCTTCCTTTACCACTTTTACTTTATTTGTTTCTTACTTTATTTCCTTCGGGTAAAATTTCCTTCCTTCCTTCCTTCCTTCCTTCCTTCCTTCCTTCCTTCCTTCCTTCCTTCCTTCCTTCCTTCCTTAATGTTGAATCTTTTACTTCGTTTGTTTGTTTGTTTCTTTTTTTCTTTTATTTTGTTTCTCTTTCATTCTATCGTATTTCGTTCCATATACAAATGCCGATATATTTAATTTAAACTGGATCTTTTTCTATTTCCTGATTATGAATTCTAATTTCATTCCCCACCCCGAATTCTAAGAAATCACATGGTATGAGACTATTTTATTTGGACTTTTCTATGTATGTGTGTGTGTGGGTGGGCGGGGTTTATTTCCAATAAATCTACATAGAAAAATGGACCCCTCATATCTACGTTAATAACATTGAATATTTTTCATTATTCGTGGATATGGCGTGGATAACCAATAAAATTGTGGCACAAATTCACCGATATTTTTTGTAAGTTCACCCATTACAAGGGTCGATAGAAGGAAGTGGGGGGGTTACTGAATAATATGCGTGATATGTAAATAAGATATGCAAGTTGCATGGGGTTACATCCTCTATATGTCTAAACTGGTGGAACTAAAGACTGGTCATCCTTTTAAAATATGCCATCAAGTTATGTTTAAATCAGCAGTGTCATCTCAGAAACAAAATTTGTTGCATACATCAAGAAATATATCAGATATATTCAAGGGCTACTTTTATATTGCATGATAATCACTATTGGATTCGTTACGCTGCCACAATTCATGGGATCAAAATCCGGATTCGTTACGCTGCCACAATTCACGGGATCAAACCCCGGATTCGTTACGCTTACGTAATTCACGGGATCAAACTCCGGATTCGTTACGCTTTCGTAATTCACAGGATCAAACCCCGAATTCGTTACGCTTTCGTAATTCACGGGATCAAACACCGGATTCGTAACGCTTTCGTAATTCACGGGATCAAACACCGGATTCGTTACGCTTTCGTAATTCACGGGATCAAACCCCGGATTCGTTACGCTTTCGTAATTCACGGGATCAAACACCGGATTCGTTACGCTTTCGTAATTCACGGGATCAAACACCGGATTCTTATGTCTTTCGTAATTCACAGGATCAAACCCCGAATTTTACGCTTTGTAATTCACGGGATTAAACACCGGATTCGTTACGCTTTCGTAAGCCGCGGGATCAAACACCGGATTCGTTAGACAAAAAAAATTCAGGATCAAACCCCGAATTCGTCTACGCAACAATTCACGGATCAAACACCGGATTCGTTACGCTTTCGTAATTCACAGGATCAAACCACGGATTCGTTACGCTTTCGTAGGACGGGATCAAACCCCGGATTCGTTACGCTTACGTAATTCTTGGATCAAATCGGATTCGTTACGCTTTCGTAATTCACAGGATCAAATTGATTTTACGCTTTCGTAATTCACAGGATCAAACCCCGGATTCGTTACGCTTTCGTAATTCACGTGATCAAACTCGGATTCGTTACGCTTTCAAAACGGATCAAACCGGATTCGTTGCTTTCGTAATTCACGGATCGAACACCGGAATCGTTACGCTTTCGTAATTCACGGGATCAAACACCGGATTCGTTACGCTTTCGTAATTCACGGGATCAAACACCGGATTCGTTACGCTTTCGTAATTCAGAGGATCAAACCCCGAATTCGTTACGCTTTCGTAATTCACGGGATCAAACACCGGATTCGTTACGCTTTCGTAATTCACAGGATCAAACCACGGATTCGTTACGCTTTCGTAATTCACGGGATCAAACCCCGGATTCGTTACGCTTACGTAATTCACCTGATCAAACCCCGGATTCGTTACGCTTTCGTAAGGAGGATCAAACCCCGGATTCGTTACGCTTTCGTAATTCACGTGATCAAACTCCGGATTCGTTACGCTTTCGTAATTACGGATCAAACTCCGGATTGTTAACCTTTCGTAATTCAAGGATCGAACACTGGAATCGTTACGCTTTTCGGAATTCACAGGATCAAACCACTCTCTTATGTCTTGTGCATTTAGTTTCTTCCCATTTTCCTTGCACGGGCCTTATAATTCCGCTGCTTGTAACCCCTCAAGAGCCGCTGAAAAAGAATGACCGTGAGACACAAAAAAAGACGTCTGTCAACATACATCATATCACTAAAAATAGGCCACAGCAATATGTCGAATCTTAATGTGCTGGTGAGAATTCTGACAACCCAGAATGAGTAGGCTTGAAATCCTGTGAATGAGGTATTGTCATTGTTTAAATTTTTCTAAAACCAAACAAAAAATCGCGCGAAGAAGTATGGCTGCAAAAAAAGAAGATGAAGCCTCGCTGCTACCAACCTGTTGACCCCGCTATCTTTCTCTCTCTTTCTCGCTCAATCCAAGGAAAATGCAATAAATACTGTACTTCCTCACTGGAATAAACTGAAGGACAAATTGATCTTTTTATCTCTGACGATGGCAACTTCTGAAGAAGAATGATTGACTCCGATAAACAGAAAAAGACACGAAAAGCGATACATTTCCTTTCCGAGGATATCCAAATATCTACGGGTTAAACAGCAAATGTAGACCATTATATCTTCTTTAAAATGGTAACAGTTTAAGCAAATTTCATTTTTGTTCTTTGTCGGAATTCAACAGGAAAACTTTCTTTCTTTCTTTTCCATGAATCTTTCTTTCACAGATAATAAAGAAAAAGGCTCTATGCAGAGCGATGTCTGTCTATATCCTGAAATACATGGTATCATATTTATGAATACAGATTAATTCAGCCCTCTACATTAACCAGAGAAAAAATATATTTCGATCGTTTTATAACTTGAACTTGGTAACATAAGAAATTCTTCGTTTATTTCTTCCATTTTACGTTCTGATAGAACCAGACGAGTTCTTTCTTTCTTTTTTTTCTTTCGATTTCTTTTTTAAAGAGAAAAGATAAAGAAACGAGAAATTTCTTTCTTTCGTTTCTTTCTTAACCAAGTTCTTCATTTAAAAGTCTCACTTTTTGTATTTCATTTTTGTTCTTTGTTTCATTTTCTTTCTTTCTTTCTTTCTTTCTTTCTTTCTTTCACTTTGTCTCTTTTTCCAATCTTCCGTATTCCTTTTCGTATACAAATGACGTTATATCTCCTGTAAATTGGATCATTTTCCATTTTATTTTTCATTCTTCGTTTCTTTCTTCCATTTACGTTCTTTGATTCTTTCTTTCTTTCTTTCTTTCTTTCTTTCTTTCTTTCTTTCTTTCTTTCTTTCTTCCAAGTTCTTCCTTTCAGTCTCACTTTTGTTCTTTCTTTCTCTTTTTCTTTCTTTCTTTCTTTCACTTTGTCTCTTTTTTCCAATCTTCCGTATTCCTTTTAGTATACAAATGACGTTATATCTCCTCTATACTGGATCTTTTCCATTTTATTTTTCATTCTTCGTTTCTTTCTTCCATTTACGCTCTTAGATTCTTTCTTTCTTCCTTTCTTTCCTTCTTTCTTTCATTCTTTCTTTCTTTCTGTCTCACTTTTGTTCATTCTTTCTTTCTGTCTTTCTTTCTTATACTGATAAGGAGTAGCTGAGACAAGAATCATAATCATCACCATCACCCAAATCCTCAATACCAAGACAGAATGTGGTCGGTGGGTCGTCATGCAGCCGAGCACCTGATAAAATCCATCAATATATACTGCTGGAAAATGGCACTTCGACGTGGCGTAATGATTTTGTTTTTTAATCATTTCACCCCAAGCAAGGCGGGAATGCCTCTAGTACGCTGGGGTTACAAAGAGTGAAGGTGAGAGAAAAGACTGAGTATAGGGTAGACCGAAGAAAGGATAAAAGCTGACCGGGGTTCAAGAAGATGGTTAACCCTAACCTAAGATGGCGTCTGACGTTGCATTGACATTTTTGAAGCTTGTAGTTATCGGCGAAGCAAAGAAACGGAAGGGAGTTCTACAGGAGGGAAGTGCGAGAAAAGAAACTGTTGGAGTAGAATTGGTGGTTACAGCTAACTAATACAAAAGTAAAAAGGCGGAACCTTGATGGTAATCTAGTATCTTGCTTAAACTCACGTAGTACGGGCACCAGAGATAAAAAAAGCTCGTCAGAGCAGTTGCCATGAAAATATTTGTGGAAAAGACAGGGGAAGCCACGTCACGTTGGCGAGAAAGTGACTGAAGTCGAGATGTCAAGTCAGGTCCTTCTTTGAATTTTGTCAAGAACTTTGAAATTGGTAGCAGGAGCATCTGACCAGATATGGCAACAGTATTCAACACACGGACGAATGGTGGCTTTCTAAATGTGCAAGATGAACTCTGACGAGAAAAAACCTTCCGGTACGACACAGTGAACCAACATTCTTTGCAGTAGATGAAACTAGTTAGTGATCCGATGTAGTCGTTCCACTTCAAGTCTGTTAAAAACTTGTTGCCAAGAAGGTGCAGTGTGTTGCTTTGCACGAGTCTAGCATCATTCATGCTGATGGTGGTCAGGAAAGAGCAATTTCGTTTTGGAAGCATTAAAATTTACAAGTCATTTTCTTCTCCAAGTAACCAATGATGGCAGTCCTTTTCAAGAGCACCGGCCAGGTTAACTTAGCCAACACTGACGTTTATTCTATTGAAACAGGAGTAAATGGTAGTGTCATCTGCATATTTGCCTATTTGGCATCAGGGGATCATTGATGAAAGATCAGAAACATCGTAGGACCCAGTATAAAGTCTTGGGGAACAGCCGCGTTAGTATGAAAGGAGAAAGCGAGACCGTTCAAAACAATTTAATGATTTGATAGGATCAATTGGATTAACTCAAACAAACGTCCAGTAACACCGTAGCCCCGGAGCTTACGGAGAAGACCAGCATGCTAAAACTTGTCAAACGCCTTCGAGATAACTAGAGCCACAACTCGATCTAGCGTTATTTTCAAGAGCTTTATATACATACTCAGTGACGATCGTTAGCACAGCGGTAGATCTGGCAAAACGGCAGCCATATTGTTTGTCAGAGAGTTGTCGTGGAAGATAAGCTGATTAACCATTTGAGCATCGAATTATTTGCCTAAAAGCGCTAGAAGATTAATAAGGCGATAGTTAGAGGGATTAGAAGGTTCTCCAGAGTCCTTAAAGCAGGAACTACAGAGGATGACTTCTAACAAACAGGAAAGCAGGAAGCAGCGTTGCAATAGTTGTAGAGTTTGGAGTGAACTGGAGCCAGCTCGGGATCACATTTCTTTAAGATGGCGGCTGGGACGCTGTCACATCCACTTATCTTATGGGAGTCTAATTTAGAAATAATGTCTGAGACCTGTGACAGGGTTATGCACATACCAGTCAGTAGATCCTCTTTTCTAGCAAGGAAATCAGATGTAGGTACTGAAGTTGAGTTGAAAGAGAATTTTCGAGCAAAACATTCAACTTCATCTGCTGTAAATATGAAGACTTTGAATTGATTGAGAGATTGAGGATTTGCTATTGTTTAGTAACATTCTTGCAGAGATGCTATACGTTGGTTCATTTTATAAGCAAAAAGTAATTTCACTTTTTTTAGGACACACTTGCACTCGTTACGAGCAGAGACAAAGAGACGTCTGTTACAAAAAGAAGAAGCAAAAGTTTGAGAAAAATTTGTAAATTACTTAAGAGATTTAAGACAAAGAAAGAAAGAAAGAAAGAAAGAAAGAAAGAAAGAAAGAAAGAAAGAAAAAGAGAAAGAAAGAAAGAGAAGTAAAGTACGGGAAGAAAGAAAAGTGCAGGGTGAAGAGTAAGGACAACAAGAAAGAAAGAAAGAAAGAAAGAGATAAAGAAAAGAAACTAAGAAAGAAAAAAAAAAACAGGAAGAATTTAAAGGACAAAAATAAATAAAGAAGAAAGAAAGAAAGAAAAGAAAGAAAGAAAGAAAAGAAAAACGTGAGGGAAGAAAGAAAGAAAAGAAAAAGGATAAAAGAAAAGAAAAAAGACATTGAAAAAAAAAAGACTATTCGGAAAGAAAGAAACGTGAGAAATAATAAATACGAGAAATAAATAAAGCATAAAGAAAAAAAACGGAAAGTGAAAAGAAAGAATCAACTCTTTCGTTTTATGTCTCATGTCCTTTCAGGACGTGAGGGGCGATCATGGATCCAGTCGGATAAAGAAATCCTTGACAAAAGACCATTCCTATTTATCCTATCTCAGCATCTAAAACAACAAGTTTTTTTTCTATTTATGTGTCATGTCCCCCAGACCACGTTTTCCACCTCCCCTATCCCTTGCAGTTCTCAACAAGTTCTTCCCTCTGCTTAAGTCCCCAGAGGTCATGTCTTAACGCGTTTTTTTGTTTCTCTTTACATCTATTCAACTTGTGTGTGTCAGATTCTCCAGGCCCTCCTTCCTTATTATGTGTCCTTTTCTTGATGTTAATTATAAGCCTCTGCCTTGTTTGCAAACTCGCTAAGACCTCATCGTTTCTCGCATGCTTTGGTCCATGATATCCTCATCATCCTTCTGTAAAACCACATGTCCGTCGCCCTGAGTCTCTTCTTCATCTTTGAGGAAATCGACCAACATTAGCTGCCGTATAGAAGGACAGATGGCACGTAACAGTTCAGTATTCTTTTCTTTGCGGGAGCTGTATAAGATAGATATACACAGGTCTTGCTGGGATAGGGATAAAGCGGTCCGGATAAGATAGGGATAAATAGGTCCGGATCTCGAAAGGGATGAATAAATTTTGCCCGGGATAGAGATAAATAGGCCCGGTTGACATCGGGATAAATGGGCCCAACTTGTGATAGGGATAAGCTGGTCTGGATCGGGTCAGGGAAAATAGGTCCCGTCTTAGAAAAGGTATAAATATGTCCAGCTGGGATAGGGATAAATAAGTCTTACTCGGGATAAATAGGCCCATCTGCGATAGGGATAAATAGGTCCGGCTCGTGAAATGGTTAAAAACGTCCGTCTCGTGAAAGGGTGAAATAGGGATAAATAGGCCCATCTCGTGAAAGGGTTAAATAAGTCTTGCTCGCGATAAGGATGAATAGGTCCGCCTCGTGGATAAATAGGTTCATCTCGAAAGGATAAATAAGTCTTTCTCAAGGATGAGAGATAAATAGGGGATAAATAGGCCCATCTTCGTGAAATAGGGTTAAATAAGTCTTGTTCGGGATAAATAGGCCCATCTGTGATAGGGGAAAATGGGTCCACCTTGTGAAAGGGTCAAATAAGTCTTGCTCGAGATAGGGATAAATAGATCCGTCTCGTGACATATAAATCGTCCAAAAGGGATAAATAAGTCTTGCTCGATAAAAGATAGGGGATAAAAGGTCTTGCTCGGATAAAAGGTCCGGGTTAAATAAGTTTTGCTCAAGATAGGATAAATAGGTCCCATCTCGTATAAAAGGGGTTAGGATAAATAAGTCTTTTCGGGATAGGGATAAATAGGCCCGGCTGGCATAATCCGACCTGGGTAAAATAAAGTCTTGGTCTCAAGAAAATAGGGGATAAATAGGTCCAACTCGGATAGGGATAAATAAGTCTTTCTCGGGATAAATAGGCCCAGCTGCGATAGGGGTAAATAAGTCCGTCTCGTGAAAGGGTGAAATAGGTCTTGCTCGAGATAGGGATAAATAGGTCCGTCTCGTGAAAGGGTTAAATAAGTCTTGCTCGAGATAGGGATAAATAGGCCCATCTCGTGAAAAGGGTTCAAATTAGGTCTTTCTCTCGAGCTTGCAGGGATAAATAAAGTTCTTGGTCTCGTGAAAGGGTTAAATAGGTCCAACTCGAGGGATAAATAGGGTTCGGGATAAATAGGCCCATCTCGTAGGGGGTAAATGGGAAAGGGTCAAATAAGTCTTGCTCGAGATAGGGATAAATAGATCCGTCTCGTGACAAGTATAAATACGGTTAAATAAATAAGTCTTTCTCGAGATAGGGATGGGTAAAAGTCTTGCTCGGATAAATAGGTCCGTCTCGTGAAATGGTTAAGTTTTGCTCGAGATAGGGATGAATAGGTCCGCCTCGTGAAAAGTATAAATAGGTTCAACTCGGTTGGGGATAAATAGGCTTTTCCGGGATCTAAATAGGCCCGGCTGGAAACCTGTGGTAAAAATAAACTGGTCTTGGTCGGGTCAAGAAAATAGGGAGAAAACCTTATAGGGTCCATCTCGGAAAGGGATAAATAAGTCTTGCTCGAGATAGGTGCGATAGGGGCAAATAGGTCCGTCTGAAAGGGTTAAAAAGGGTTACTCGGATAAATAGGGTCTTGAAAATCGAGTTTTGCTCGAGATAGGGATAAATAGGTCAGGCTCGTGGAAAGTATAAAGAGGTTCAACTCGGATAGGGATGAATAAGTCTTTTCTGGGATAGAGATAAATAGGCCCGGCTGGCATAATCCGACCTGTGGTAAAGATAAACTGGTCTTGGTCGGGTCAGAGAAAATAGGTCCCGTCTTAGAAACCTTATAAATAGGTCCAACTCGGATAGGGATAAATAAGTCTTGCTCGAGATAGGGATAAATATGGCTTTCTCGAGAGAGAGCCACGTTTTGGATAGGGATAAATGTGTCCAACATATATTATTAAACTGGTCTGGGTCGAGATAGGGAA